TCTCCTCTCTCTCCCCCCTCCCCCCCCCCCAAGCCTTCTTGGGTTCCTGAGTGTGAATGGCTGGGTGTCCCCTGGGAGGTGCCTTCAGCGGGCTGTTAGGTTTAATTCCCAGGGGATGGAATTGGCTTGTCTCCAACTGTTTGTAAATTAGTGGGAGGGACAGCAGGAGGTGGGGACAAACAGCCTCTTCCTGTTGATGTCAGTGCATTCTAATGCAGTGGAGCCCAGCGCTGAATTCCCAGGGGGGGGGGAGCGGAGCTGAAATGCTAATGAATAGTGAAGAAGGGTGTGGGGGAGGGGTTATGAATGAAGCTCCCTGCTGAGCTCGACTGCCCTTCCTTCTGTGGAGACGTCCCCAGATTGGGAGGGAGGAAGGGCGGGGAGGAGAGGGGGGGGAGAGGAACAGGGTGCCAGGAAGGTGGGGCATAAACAAACATGACCTGTATATGACCTTAGAGGATTTTAATGAATAGCTGAAATGACTCATCAACCAGCAAGGCTGAAGCTGAGGGATATCGGGTGCCGGGAATGGTAACTAATGGAAACATTAATTAAGAGTTCAGCTCTTGCCAGCTGCATGTAGTTCCACTGGAATAGTGGAACTCCCTAAACTCACTGTGTGCTTGGTTACACGTGGTGGCCTAGGATTATCAAGTGAGGGTTTTCCATAGCTGCTTTGTCTCAATTGATCCTCCACTTCTTGGCTAAACAAGGGCTTTATCGTTTATTGAAAGTGCTGTTCTTTCTCCGGTCCCTGTTCCTGAGAGTCTGTCCCAAGATGGCTTAGGAGTGCTTCTAGAGTTATCCTGAATGAATCCCCACCGGAAAGGGCACGTCAGATAAGGGAGCCTTGCAGTACAAAATCACAGAGTGACTTCCACTGAAGGCGGTGGAGTTTCCATCTCATAAAGGATGTGAGCTTTGAGACATCAAACTCGCTACCTTTGCCTTGAGTACGGCGTGAACATGAAGGTGCAGGGCCGCTAACTGTGATAGTGGGGTTTGGGGTTGTCAGGCTTGCTGGAGAAACATTTTAATTCTGTGCAGCCTGGTACACTGCTAAGCATCTTCCTCTGACACCTGATAATCTGGGGAGCTTGTCCAGTATGGTGGGGAGGTGATTTAAAGGGGTGTGGGTGGGACAATCGGATAGAAAGGATAAGAGACATTCTTTGACAGAGAATTATGAGGGCCTTAAGCGTTCTCACAGCTCAACGCGTTGTGTATGGATTTGTTGGGAAGTCTGGACAGCCGATGGTATGTCGTTGTACTGCTATATTTGCTATTGCTTTCCTTTATCTTTCAAACCGGTTCTGTTTTAGAGGGAGGCTTATGGGATGGGGTTAGAGAGAGGTCTCACCTGTCCATGTTTTGAGACTGGCCATACCACTCCTTCAGGGGGTCTCTCTTGATTTTTTTGAGTTGCTGAGATTCTCGCGTGTTTCTGGGTAACCTCTTCTGTCTGGTGCAGATCTACTCACGCTGGCTTTCTCTGCTTGCAGCGGGTTCAGGCTCCATGCAGGGGCCTCAGACACCTCAATCCACCAGCAGCTCTATGGCAGAGGGAGGAGATTTGAAACCACCAACGCCAGCATCTACGCCACACAGTCAGATGCCCCCTTTGCCAGGCATCAGGTATTGCACTGCCAAATTCTGTCTGCTGCGAGCAAAGGACCTGTGTTGCTGGCAGGATTGCTAATGTTCGCTAGCAGTTGTGAATTGGGGCCAAGATGAGCGTTTTGGTCAGTTGCATGAGTCACGCTCATTTTGTAATAACTGGTAGTGAAGCTGTGGAGTTGGCAACTATATCCCATCATCTGTGTAATGATTTCTTCTCTCCTAGGGGTTTCCCTTTTTGAAGGGAAACGAGGGTTTTTTTTTCCTCTTTTGGGGGTGGGTCTGTCAGGAAGGGGGATATGATCATCTATCTTGTAGGGGAAGTGAGGGTATCTGGGGGTGGGGGGTCGAAGAGCGGCACAGGACTTTACTCTAAACAGTGTGTTCTTGTATTATATCAGGAGTAACTCAGTAGGTCTTCAGGATGCCTTTGCAGATGGCAGTGACCCCACGTTCCAGAAGCGGAACTCCATGACTCCAAATCCCGGGTACCAGCCCAGCATGAATACCTCTGACATGATGGGTCGCATGTCCTACGAGCCAAATAAGGATCCTTACAGCAGTATGAGGAAAGGTGATTGAGCTCTTAATACTCTTTTTTATACAGAAACACTTAACCCATTTAACTGTCTAACCCCTGAAAGGTGCCTTAGGGATATATGGAGCCCCTGGGCCAGTGCCATGCGGTCTCATGTTCATCCATCTCCTGCAAAAGGAGAGAACATTTTTTCTGATTCCAAGGTGAACTTGCTGTGCTGATCCTTTCTTTTCCTCTCCCAGCTCCAGGAAGTGACCCCTTCATGTCCTCAGGGCAGGGCCCCAACACTGGTATGGGTGACCCGTATAATCGTGCTGCAGGTCCAGGGATGGGTAACATGGCCCTGGGACAACGGCAACATTATCCCTATGGAGGTCCTTACGACAGAGTGAGGTGAGCGCTTGCTGGACTCTTAAGGTTAATAGTGTATCCCTTATTCACAACAGTGACTGCCCTGGTAGCCTCTTTCCTCTAGAGGAACAAAGGAGCAGCCGTGACAAGTGTATGTGTTTGTGTAGGACGGAGCCAGGAATGGGACCAGAGGGCAGCTTAGGAACCGGAACTCCCCAGGCCAACATTATGCCTTCCACCCCTGACTCAGGGATGTACTCTCCCAGCCGCTATCCACAGCAGCAACAGCAGCAGCAACGGTAGGTGCAGGCTGGTGCCAAACGAGCAGCATTTGCCAGTTAATAGAACGGGTTGCCTCCCACAACAGACAGGGAGTTCAGAAACCCTTATCGCTAAGTGTGCACCTGGGCAGAGGGTGATGCACCTGTTCAATCTCTCTCTGCAGACATGATTCCTATGGCAATCAGTTCTCCACTCAAGGCACATCCTCTGGCAGTCCCTTTCCCAGTCAGCAAACCACCATCTATCAACAACAACAGCAGGTGAGCTCCCCAACCTCTCCGGTTTGCTCAAGAGAAGCGTGGGATGATTTACCTGTGGAAAGTTGTCAAAAGCAAATTGTTTTCTGGCGTAGCTGTCTGCTGTACTGATTTCTATTCAATGTTGAGAGTTATATAACATGTACACGCCCAACCATCATGCAGAACCTTTCCATGTTACTGCCAGTTTCCAAGTAGTTAAACAGGTTTTAATGTGACTGCTGTAATACACGTTGTGGTTTTGTGCAGTGTGTACAACCTTTAGTCCTGTAAAGTAGGGGCTCTTCAGTACACAGCTAGTACAGTTACTTGTTCAGATTCTGGGAGCCCAGAAAGCTTCACTTGGGGTTCTGTTCTCTCTATAACCTACTTGTCTGATCCCCACAGTATCTCTAACAGCAGGTTTGTCTAGTATTTCATGTATGGCCTCATGATCATCCCTTAATAGGTCTAGGTAACTGCCTCTGACTTGGATCCTTCCACGCAACCCAGAATTTTCTTGGATGTTTTTCATTTCCTGAGCCCATTGTTGAAGATTTTGCAGTTATATCCATCCCATGAGTGTTTTTAGAGATATACAATGCACTTTGTTCAGAGAAGAGTTTAGCGTAACATCCATAAAAACTAAGAGAGGAAATTTAACTTGCTATTCATGGCAATGCCTCCACCAATCCCTTATTTTTCTTGCAGTTTTGGGATAGATCCTGTCTGGCTCATGAACATATAGTAGAGGGCACTTGCAGAGCTCTGCTAAGAATAATTCCAACTGCTTTGCAGTTTGTTTGGCTTTGCAACCAGAGCCACAGGGCACTGGGCCAAGGGTTTCAGTTACTTCAGTTCTCAAGTGTCTTCCTGGAGCTTTAGAGCTTCACGCTGAAGCCTAGATAGACAGCACAGTAGTTAGGGCACAGGACTGGGAGTTGAGATCTGGATTTTAATCCTGGTTCGGTCATGGCCCGACTGACCTTCCATATGTAAAAAAGGGGTCATGCTCACTTCTGTAAGATGCTTTAAGATCTATGATGAAAGGAACAATTAGAAGTACGAACTATAGCTTTTGATTCACACCGTATCTGAGATTTCAGTGGAAACTTCTCCAATTTATGGAAGAACTGGAACAGGGTCTGCTGAAGCTACTGAAACTGACCAAACAGGAATCCACGCACAGATTGTACTGTGTCGTGACTGTGTACTAAAGGTTGAGGGTGAGCTCTTTTTATAGGCAAGTCTTTTCCGCTGTCCATTAGCCTGCCCTGAAAGCATCCTTATGGAAGCAGCTAGGGAAACTCAAAATGCCTGAAGGAATCAGTCTTGGCTTGTAAAAATTTGGAGTCTCTTCAGGCCTCATGTGGGAAGGTTGGTCTTATTGACCATTTAGAAAAACTCACCCCAGTGCAGGTTAGATAATAGCATTCGTATGATGTGGGATGCAGTCCCACTTGGTCTGTGTAGCTCTGCCACAGAATTCACATTGCCTTTAGCGTTTTATAAATTATTCTCCATTACCAACTGCTTTATACATCTTCCTTGTAGAATTACAAGCGACCGATGGATGGCAATTATGGCCCGCCTGCCAAGCGACACGAAGGGGAGATGTACAACGTCTCGTACAGCACCGGGCAGGGGCAGGCGCAGCAGCAGCTGCCTACAGCACAGACCCAACAACCGAGCCAGCAGCAAACTGCACAGCCTTATACATGTCCTGCGGTGGAGAACCAGTATGGGAGTACATATCCTGCCACCGACCGCCGACCTGCAGGAGGGCCGCAGAACCAGTTCCCATTCCAATTTGGCAGAGACAGGGTCTCCGCTCCCCCAGGCTCGACTGCCCAGCAGAATATGCCACCCCAGATGATGGGTGGTCCTATACAATCTACTCCAGAGGGCCTGCAGCAGGGCACCTTGTGGCAAGGGCGCAATGAAATAGGGTACAGCTATCCAAATCGGCAGAGTTCAGGCTCTGCAGCCCAGGGGCCTGCTTATCATGGAGTGAATCGAACAGATGAAATTCTACATTCAGATCAGAGGGTAAATCACGAGGGGCCATGGCCCTCCCATGGGAACCGTCAGCCTCCTTATGGTCCTTCTGCCCCGGTACCCCCAATGACAAGGCCCCCACAGCCTAACTACCAGACCCCTCCTAGCATGCAGAATCACATTCCTCAGGTATCTAGCCCAGCACCTCTGCCCAGACCTCTGGAGAACCGCACCTCACCCAGCAAATCTCCGTTCCTGCACTCGGGGATGAAAATGCAGAAAGCAGGACCTCCCGTCCCTGCCTCGCATATAGCCTCAGCAGCCGTACAGCCTCCCATGATACGACGGGACATCACCTTCCCACCCGGATCAGTGGAAGCTACGCAGCCTGTGTTGAAGCAAAGGAGACGGCTGACAACAAAAGATATTGGTAAGACTAAGCTCCCACTCTGCTGTAGCTGTTGGGGATGATGTCTGTCAGAGGACCATCACCGCTTTTGGGGACAGGTTGTTGGGAAGGGGAGCCACCAAAGGAAATGGGTCTCAGGTGGCTTTGTCTGAATCACCATTCTCTCTCTCTTCCACCCTCCCCCCGGGATATTTGCTTTGTCTGCACTGTGGTCTGTAAAGCCCTGTGGAATGGGCTGTTGTGCTGTCCATGGAATCAGAAAGCAATATTGAGTGTCAGTCCTTTTTTTGTTTCTCAGCACCAGGAACTGGAGGTATCATATGTTTATATTACAGGAACTCCTGAAGCATGGAGAGTGATGATGTCTCTGAAGTCTGGGCTGCTGGCTGAAAGTACGTGGGCCTTAGATACCATAAACATCCTGCTCTATGATGACAACAGCATAATGACCTTCAACCTCAGCCAGGTGGGTGCAGATGCTCTGAGATATAGGTCTTTGAAGCACTGACCTATGTTCAGAATGCTGTCAACAAGATAGCAGAATACAGGTCTTCTTCATCTAGGGCCAACTTCCAGCCATCCCAGCATTTGCAGAAATGTAACGTAACTGTTGTGAAGGCCAACCCTGAATACATACATGCACAGAGTCTGACTAATTGCATGCCCCACTACTTTGTCGGTATACATAGTTATCCACTTGCATTGTTTGCAAATGCAAGGTTTTGCCTGGATGGTGGATGTGTTGTCTCTGTGGTACAAAAAGGGAATAACAGGGATGAGGTGTTCAAACCTACCTTCACAGTAAGGGCACCGCAAAATGCTGAAGGCTGACTATCTTCTCTGATGATCTACAATGCCATTTTGTTTTCTCTAGCTGTCTGTCAGGCCTCTTCGTGAAGTTTGGATGCCAGTTCAAGGAAGTTAACCTTCTTCCTAAGCTGGCTCTGGCTGGGTGTCTTGTGCATGTGGCGTTATACTTCCTTCCTCCTCACCCCAGCCATAGCAAAAAGTATGAACTACAATATTGTAAATACTGTTTCAATTGCTGTTGTATTTTGCCACCCTGTGCTCGAAGGAAGGAAGGAGGTGACCAGGAAGGGGTCATAGGAGCGTGTCATATGTTTGGTCAATCATGGATAGCAAAATGCTGACTTTTTTTTTCTCTCCCTCCATCACCTCCTTTCCCAGAAGATGGGAAGTCTATTTGGAGTAGCAAATACTGTAATGTGTAGCCAGTATAAGAAGAAACTAATTGTCAATACTGCTTCAGCCCTTAACCATCTTCTGACCAACCTCCCCAATCACTTATATTGGCCTAGCTTGCTCTGATTTTTTTTTCCCCACCCCCTTCCCTTGTTCTTTCTATTGCAGCTGCCAGGGTTGCTGGAACTGTTGGTGGAATATTTCCGGCGTTGCCTGATCGAAATCTTTGGGATCCTAAAGGAATATGAAGTGGGAGATCCGGGACAAAAAACACTATTAGATCCTGAAAGATTCTGCAAGTCTTCAAGTCCCCCTCCTGAAAAGGGGGATGAAGAAGAGGAGCCACAGAGCCCTAACTCTGAGGAAGAGGAGGAGGAAGAGGAAGAGGAGGCTGCATTTGCAAGTAAAGACAAAGCACCCCTAGAGAGCAATGAAGAAAAACTAGTCAGTAAATTTGACAAGCTTCCAGTCAAGATAGTGCAGAAGAATGACCCATTTGTGGTAGATTACTCAGACAAGCTGGGGCGAGTACAGGAGTTTGAAAGTGGATTGCTGCACTGGCGGATTGGTGGTGGAGACACCACTGAACACATTCAAACCCACTTTGAGAGCAAAATGGAGCTACTGTTAACTCACAAACGAGCTTCCTGCAACTCTGCCTTGAGAAAACGTTCTGCAGCTGAGAGCAATCCGGGAACTAGAGAGGGGGAGAATCTGCCATCTGATGGTCCCCCGGAGAAAAGGATAACCGCTACTATGGATGACATGCTTTCGGCACGGCCAGGCTCACTGGCGGAGGAGGAGGTCAAAAACTCGGAAGCAACAAAGGAAAGCAGCAAATTTCCATTTGGCAGTAGTCCAGCTCAGAGCCACAGAAATATCAAAATTCTGGAGGATGAACCTCACAGTAAAGATGAGACACCCCTGTGCACCCTTCTAGACTGGCAAGACTCTCTAGCTAAACGCTGCGTCTGTGTCTCTAACATCATCAGGAGTTTATCGTTTGTGCCGGGCAATGACTTTGAAATGTCTAAGCACCCCGGTCTGCTGCTGATTCTAGGGAAACTGATTCTCCTGCACCACAAGCATCCGGAACGCAAACAGGCACCACTGACCTACGAGAAGGAAGAGGAGCAGGACCAAGGGGTGAGCTGCAACAAGGTGGAGTGGTGGTGGGACTGCTTGGAGATGCTGCGTGAAAACACGCTGGTTACGCTGGCCAACATTTCTGGTCAGTTGGACCTCTCCCCGTACCCGGAAAGCATCTGTTTGCCTGTCTTGGATGGACTCCTCCACTGGGCAGTATGTCCATCCGCAGAGGCCCAGGATCCTTTCCCAACCCTGGGGCCTAATGCTGTCCTCTCCCCTCAGAGACTGGTTTTGGAAACTCTCAGCAAACTCAGCATCCAGGATAACAACGTGGATTTGATTCTTGCAACTCCCCCCTTTAGTCGCTTGGAGAAGGTCTACAGCACCATGGTGCGCTTCCTTAGTGACAGAAAGAACCCAGTGTGTCGAGAGATGGCTGTGGTACTACTGGCCAACTTGGCACAGGGCGACAGCCTGGCAGCTAGAGCAATTGCAGTGCAGAAGGGCAGCATTGGCAACTTGTTGGGCTTCTTGGAGGACAGCCTGGCAACCACTCAGTTCCAGCAGAGTCAGGCCAGCTTGATGCACATGCAAAACCCTCCCTTTGAGTCGACAAGTGTGGACATGATGCGTCGGGCAGCTCGGGCGCTGCTTGCCCTGGCCAAAGTGGACGAGAACCACTCTGAGTTCACGTTATACGAGTCGCGGCTGTTGGACATCTCCGTGTCGCCTTTGATGAACTCGTTGGTTTCACAAGTTATTTGTGATGTACTGTTTTTAATTGGCCAGTCATGACAGCCGTGGGATGCCTATACCCCTGTGTGCGTGTGCGTGAGTGGAGAACTTAGAAACTGACTGTTGCCCTTTATTTATGCAAAACCACCTCAGAATCCACTGTCTGCCCTGCGCTGCCCTGCTTCTCCCTGGGGAAAGACGTCCCCTTTCCCTTTTCCCCTCACCCCACCCTCAACTCTGTCCTGAACCCCCAGTTCAAGGAGACAAAAGTTCTGCCTACGTAGAAGACTTTTTTTATTTTAACCAAAGTTACTGTCGTTTACAGTGAGTTTGGGGAAAACGACTTGCCGTGTTATTGCATCGACAGGCGCCACTTTCATAACTGTTTTTAATGGTAAACTCGGAAGGACAAAAGTGACTGCTGAACTCTGTGTGGTTTATCGTTGTACATTCACAATCTTGCAGGAACCAAGAAGTTACCAGTTGTGAACAGACCTTGTCCAATGGAGGCCTGTGCAGTAGAGTGTAGAACTTCATGTACTGTACACCTTAAACTGTAAACATACTGTAATAATGTCTCACATTGAAAAAAAAACGCTGGATCAGCAGCAAGCTGTAGTTTTTAAAAATGTTTTTAGTTAATGTTGAGGAGAAAAAAAAGGCTTTTCCCCCAAAGTATCATGTGTGAACCTACAACACCCTGACCTCTTTCTCTCTTCCTCCTTGATTGTATGAATAACCCTGAGATCACCTCTTAGAACTGGTTTTAACCTTTAGCTGCAGCCTGAACGCTGCCACGTGTGTATATATATATGACGTTGTACATTGCACATACCCTCAGATTCCTTGCAGTTTTGTCCCCCTCCTCCCCACCCCTTTATAGTATGACGAGTTAACGAGTTGATGACCTGCAAAAGCGAGACACAATTATTTAATCTCTTGCCAGACATCTCTCTCTGGAGGATGCTGTACAGGTCTTTGTGTATAAAGTCATTGCTGTCTCAGCAGCCAATCAACTTATAGTTTATTTTTCCTGTTTTTGTTTTCTTTCTAATCGAGGTGTGAAAAAGTTCTAGGTTCAGTTGAAGTTCCTGATGAAGAAACACAATTGAGATTTTTCAGTGATGAATTCTGCATATTTGTATTTCAGACGATGTAGCTAAAAACTTGATGTAAATTCCTCCCTTTTTTCCTTTTTTGGCTTAATGAATATCATTTATTCAGTATGAAATCTTTATACTATATGTTCCACGTGTTAAGAATAAATGTACATTAAATCTTGGTAAGATGTTTGTAAGGGTTTTTATTTTTTATTAGAAAGATGGATACTATCTGTCTCTCCGCTGACCCTAATGCCACGTTCTTGTCTGTTGGCATAGACTGGCTTCATAAATACAAATCCTGCTTCCAGGGAAAATCTGAATTTTGTAGTGGAAACTTGGGAGCTAATTGGGGATCCATTCATTGTGAGCTTAAAAAAGAATACAATTTAGAGGCAGAGAAACAGTTGCCTTTTGGTATTTGAAAGAAGAAAATTTTATTTAGAAAGAGAGATATGAGAGAGAGCTTTCTTGGAACTTTGTGTGGACTCTGATTTCCGGAAAGAAAGGGGGGTTTCCAGTAAGCAGGGTTTTAACAACCTTCAGCCAGCAACCAAATTTCAGTCTATGGTCCAGTAATCCTTGTTCTGGATGTGACAATCTGCAAGTTAATAGGTTCTGGTTGGTTAGTAAATGTATAAATTTTACTTTAACTTTTCATAAAACATTGCTGAAATTTTGGCGAGGTCAATAATGAAATGCCATGTAAGTAAAAAGACCAGCCAAGGAAAAGGAGTGAATTATTTTAATGTAAATATCCTTTCTGTTCAAGAAACCAGAAACACCTCTCATGTGTTTCGATGGTGTTTTTGCTTTTTTAATTCATCCTTCCTCTCTGACATGTCCCAGTTCCTAACTTTGAAACCCACTGCCCTTCAGTGATTAGTCTTTAATTTCAGACTTCTGGAAGCAATTCCACCTCAATGTGGTGGTGATTATTGGTGATAATCAGGGGCTTCAAAACCAAACACTATATTTATAACTTTTCTTGCTTGGCTGGTGGGAATTGGGGAATCTTTAAACCCCCAGTTCCTTGGGAAATTAATGGGGAAGTGAGCTCATAATAAAGTAGTATCTCTGATGGTCTTATTTTTGTGTTTTTAAAAAAGGTATGTGCAGAACTTCAGCACATTTTCATTTAATTTTAGCAAAGTGCTAATTATTGGGATGACCACTAAAGTATCAAGTGCCTATTACTGCATCAGGAAAAAGTTTTTCTGTATGTAGAAAGATGACTGTGTCTTTAACCCTTCATTTCTGGTATGTAGATTGTCCTGTCTCCTAGCTGCTTTGTTTAAATGGAGAATCTCATGTCTGGTTCTTGTAGGCATTAGTGAACTAGGAAATCTGAATTGACGGTGTGAGATTTTAAACTAAAAGAACCTCAGCAGCAATGTCCACAAGGTACTGCCAACAACTTGTGTCCATGGGCTTGTCTGCAGGCTTGCAGTCTCTTTTCATCCTAAGGGGACTTCAGGTATTTCACAGCTAATGCTATGTGGAGAGGCACAGAAGAGTGAAGTTGCCAATAATTACCAGTTCCACTGACATTTGCTAACTGAGCTGAGGGGAAACTCCTAGCATGTTCCCCACAAGGCGGATTAATTTATGTATATTCCAGTGGTCGTCTTTAATAAAAAAAAAGCATACATTAGCATAGATGGAAAATAAGTACAGTGAGAACAAGCAGTGACCACAATTTGTAATTAGGTTTGACTCAAGTCCCTGACTTTAAGTCCAGCAGAATGCAAGTCTTAATGCTTTGACCTGACTTCTACTGTTGCAAGGAATGCCTGTGAAAATTTGAAGCCTAACTCCTTTTCTTGACCCAGGGAGCTTAGGCAGCCTTTTACCATTCCCAATAGCAGGAGAAAACAGAAAGCTGGTTCTCCCATCTTCCAGTCAGAGCCTGGACTGAAGCATCTTTATGAACTTCCTTTGAAGATATGAGTGAAGATGACTCAGTTCCATGTATTGCTAGAACATCATTTAACAGAAGAAAATGCCAATAATACCTTTGCAATATTTTGCTAGATTTATTTTAAACCAGATTACAAACAAAAACATACATGTCCTTGATGGACATGATATAGAGCCGATAAAGGTCTAGGGGTTTCCTGCCCACAGCTGGGAGATTGGTCATGCCTATTGCCTTGTGAGGTCTTGGCGAAAGCAAAATCTGACAAGTCACTATTCACTCTGGGCAAGATCTTGAGTGGAGCCTTTTTCACTATTAGTAATGTTAATAACTGAATGTACAAATATGGTATGTTACCCAATGCACTGTAGCATGTAACATTGTATAATGTACTTTGGCATGTTACTGGCCTAAACTGAATTGCTGACTTAATGCTGGTGTAGTAGCTGCATTAGGGGGGCTGTACTGGTATAATTACATCATGCAAAATTCCTTAATGTAGACAGGGTTTAAGTGCGGAAGACCGACAGTGATGATCGTTGATCGGGAAAGTTGTGGCCTGTACAGAATTACCTTGGCTGAGTTCTGAGGCTTTATAATTAGAGGGTTGGAGATCTGTCCTCAGGTATGCACTGTGGCACAGCTAATGGCATAAAGCAGATAGAACAAACAGCATTGCTTCACTGGAACTTACTGCAGTGGTGATATTCAGGTATTAGCAAAAAGAAGAACAGGACACGGCTGCTACTCTGAAACCATTCAGGTATTAGTTCCTTATGTCCCTCCGGGGAAGAACATCATAGTGGACTCAAGCTTGTACTTCTCAATGACTGTCACTGCCTGCTCTGTAGGTTGCTTTTGGTTGAGCGGAAGCTAGTTCATAGTTTTCACTGATGGTTGCCAACTTGTATCACAGTATCGGCATCTCAAAAAAGTGTCTTAAACACTGAGCTAGCCAAGGAGGCCCCTTCCAAGACTTTAAGCATTTTGGTTTTGTAGATGCTACTTTATAGCCACATAACAGATGCATCATATCTATTAAATGAGAACAGGATACCTGAGTACCACTAACCTTAAGAATGAGAGCGCTCTTGTAGTTTTGTTATCCTGGGGATAATTTGCAGTTACCATTTGGGGGATGGGGAGGGGAAGTTTATCCATTTGGGGGAGGGGGAGGGGAAGTATTAGGTATGGAGTAGGAGAAAGAAGGAAATATTTGTGTAGGTGGATGTACATTAAATGTTAACCTGAGTGATTCACACATGCAACCAGGCTCTTCCTGCTGGTTTTGGAGTGAATTTCCTTAATGGGAGATTTTAATTTTCCATGTTACTTTTCAAACAGAGGGCAGACTTAAATTTTAGACCTCTTTTAATTGGCATTCTAGCTGTCACTTCCAAAGTGTCTGGTTACCTGCTCAAGTCAGGTTCATTACTTTCTTAAAGGCTGAGATGCAGTTCATGACTTTTTGGCATGAGTATTCTTGCAATCAAATCTGTACTGACAATGTACTTTTGACCTACTAAGCCCTTGCAGCCACAGAGGAACAGACCACATGGTGAACGATTGCTATAAATGCCATTCAGCTAAAGGTTGAAGAAAATTCTTGCAATTGCTTCTCTCGTTCCTCCTACATCTTGCACTTTTTTGGTAGAAAGAGTTTGTGCATCAGTAATGTCTATGGGCGTATTGGTTTTATTTCTCAAGTATGTGAAACTAGAAAACATATTTTCCTCCTTATGTGAAAACATATCCCTTAATGACTGTTCCTAGATTATCTCAGCTGTTTGCAGTATTCCCTAATCCTCTTGGTTGCCTACTCTAGGAGAAAACTGCTAGGTATTTAAGAGTCTATAAAGGGCAGGTATGGGAGTTCTAGTATCAGAATGGGCTGTTGCTGATATTATTTTGTCCTCTCCTCCCACTATGGGTGAAACTGAACTACGTTGTCAAGTTTCAGAGTAGCAGCGGTGTTAGTCTGTATCCGCAAAAAGAACAGGAGTACTTGGAGCACCTTAAAAACTAACAAATTTATTCGAGCATAAGCTTGCGTGGGCTACTGCCCACTTCTTTGGATGCCTATAGAGTGAAACATATATTGAGGGGATATAAGTTGTCAAGGAAGAGCCTAACGCCAGAGCAGCAGGTTTTGAAAGATGTTCTTGTGCAACCGCTGCGTAATGTGTAACGACTCGAGCTGTGGTGTAAACGCTGCTGTCAGAGGAAGGGGTCCGACGCCAGTGCACACAGGCCAAGAGCCCCTAGAGCCCTTGTTCGGCCACGTGGGGAAAAGTTGGAGGACAAAGCTTGTGGCAATGACACAGGTTTAAACGGTCTCTGGTGCCCTGTCTCAGCCACTCCTGCTTGCTGGGGGGGGGCTGGGACCCAGGGCAGGGCTCCTTTTTCCCCGGGGGGGGGGGGGCGAGCTGCCCCCCCGCCCTGTTCCATGTCTGCTGAGGCAGCTGCAGCCGGCCCGGGGGGCGCAGGGGGGCCGGTGCTGGCGCTGCTCCCCTCTCTGAGCCCCTCCGCGCTCGGGGCGGCTGAAAGGCGGGAGGCGGAGGGGGGCTTTGACGGGGCCCAGCGCGGCCAGTGGCTGCAAGGGAGCGGGGGGCCCCCAGGGCCCGGAGCTGGCGCTGAGTCACGGACCCTCCCGCCCAGCGCGGGGGAGGGGCGGGGTCGCGCGCGCGCGCGCTCTGAGGAGAGGCGGGCCGGCGGCTGCCCTTAGCAAAGAGGGCGGCTGCCCTCCCCGCGGACGCCGCGTGCGTGATCCGGGCGGGCAGGCAGGCGGCTTCACGGAATCCTAAGGCGCAGGCGCAGCCAGCCGCGTGCCTCCGGAAGTGCTCGCTGCGAGGCGGAAGCGAGGGGGCGGTGTCTGGGTGGCGGCGGGATGGAGCCGGAGTGGGAGCCCCGCGCTGAGTGCTCAGGTGGGGGAGGGGCCGGGGCTCTGCAGCCCCTGATAGCGGGGGGCGGGGGCAGCTCCTAGACTCTCCCCCTCGCGCCAGGAGCCCCGGGCGGGGGCTGTCCCGCCGAGACCCTCCCTGCCCCTCAGACCTTTCGCTGCTGGGGGGGCCCCTCATAGACTC